TATAAAAAATGTACTTGAACTCCAGATGTCCATTTACCTTGCCTTGCCAGTTCTCCCTACTCACTAGATGTGAAGCTACATTTCTCATTTAAGGTGTCATTAGCTACTGCACCAGTGTCTGATTTCTCTCAAAATCACTTCATACAGTTCTCCCAGCTCCCACATCACTTGTTCTTGCCTCCTGCTGTAACCGTTTAGGATCATGGATAATTGCTGTTCCACCTACCAGCAAACTCACTTTCCAGGACTTGCGTCCGGCCATTCCCAGCACTCAAGTAAGCGGAGATAAATGACACAACCTCCCAAGTCAGTCCAGTACATTTGGTAGTACTTTATCTGGCAGACAACAGCACAGGCAGAGGCAGCCAGATATTCTCCTGCACATCATGATACGATAGCTGGATGTCACCATCCTCTCCCCTTTCCTGCCACCCGTTAGCATCCTCCAACTGGAAGCCACCACACACTCACCTCTCCAAGCCATGCAGATTAACTGTGGTAGAACTCAGAAGATAAGAAACTGTCGGACACCACGCAGACCATAATGATTTCATTAAATAAGGTATGTAAATGAAAAATGAAAATTTAGCATAAACCGCTACCTCTTTCATTCTTTTCATCAGTTAAAGGAAAAAAAACCCCATATAGCCAATTTTAACTTGTGCTTAAGCTCAGTAATGCGTTTCTGAAAAATGAAGGGAGACACAGAGATGCTCACCTGGAAGCAGCAAATCACATGAAACACAAATAACAGAAGACTACCAGTGACTAAAGAAGCTTAGTTATTTAAGCACAGAAGCCAAATCTATATTCTGTGTGAGCCAGAAGTATCTCAGATGACATCATGGAAGCAAAAAGACAAGAAGGTAAGCCAGAAATAACAGCAGAAAAAAGCAAAAGGTGTCCTTTGACAGAGAGCAAAGTTACAGCATAAATCGCACGCGACCCTTAGGCAGCAACCAGCACGCTCAAAGACCAGCATTTTTTTTTTCCCCATCTGCAGACCTCTTGTTGCATTGTTCCTCAATGTGTTAAGATAAGAGCTGAATACCTAAGGTTAAATATAACCACTGAATCCTACAAAGACTGAAACATATCCAAGGGATGATCCAAACCCAGGCTGACTCTTCTAGCTGTGCTGGCATATCCTGTTAATGTCAATGCCCTCTATAAAAGAGGGAAATTCTTGTGGAATATTGCTCTAAAAGGGATTGCAGCAGGAACAGCTATACCAGCAACTTTGCCAGTGCATTTATCAAGAAAACAGTATCTGCTTTTGGCAGAGCAAAAAGCCTGCCAAAGTGTCAGATTCTGCTCTTCTGGTATTCTTTTTTTTTTTTTTTTTACGACAGACTGGGACTTAATCATTTGTTTCCACAGCACCACTTCAGTTTTCCGTAAATAAGCCAATATAACCTGCAGCTGGTCAGCTCAGGGCCAGGGTACTCAGCCCCCCCAAGGGAAGCCAACGTCAGCCCAACTCCTTAGCGCAAAGCGGCAGCAGGGAAGAGCTGGAGGCAGGAGCTCTTCCCTGCCGGAGCGCGCTCCGGTTGCTAGGTAGCTCCGAGGTGCAGATATGCCTCATTTGCCTGGGTAAACACATCCTGTAGGACTGTATTTACAGAACATGGCCTTTGCTTCCCATTCCTTCAAGTGATAATAAAAATGCTTAAAATTCCTCCTCTGGGATCTTAGCAACAGTTGCCCTTTGGATACCTGAATGCGGTTGTATTTTTGTGCTCATGGTGTAGCACGCAACTTGAATTAGTGCTCATCCACACAGCCATGGTCTTGCTTGAGCCTTATTTTATGGGGTGGCTACTCTGACTTAAGTTTCACTAAATCAAGAGATGATAGCTTCAAGTTCTCTCTAAACCAACTGCTGTTTCAGGAGAATCAGAGTGCCAGCTTGGAGGAGAAAACCTAACAGATTTTGCTTTGATATTTTAAGTGTCTAACATCAAAACTGTAAGAAGCAGAGAGAAGACTGCATTTTCGCATCTAAATCTAAAGGAGGGCAAGTAAGGAAATGGTCTCCCTAAGAGAGGAAGCAATCAGAACTGGGCACTGCCCAAGCAATAGCAATTATTAAACAGCAATACACTGGGGAAATAGGGATTCTAGGCAAGAGCCTGCTGTATAATGTAGCACCTGGGGGGGATCCTTAACTACGGCAGTTTCGAAGCAGGTAGTACCATATAGGAATCAAACCCGGCATATTTGTGCTATATATAATTAGGTGACATTTATACATTTGTTTAGTGCAAGTTGTTTTCCAAGCAGTATATGAGAATATAGCCCAAATGTGCTGTAGGGGCAATCTGTATGAATCGCCAGCTTTCAACACTGACAAGCCCTCCTAACCACACAGTCCATCTCCACATAGCTGGCAGGCACAAGCTCAAACTTTAAGAGCAGCTACATGCTATTCAACGTACTGCATCAGTGGGGAAAGACAACCCTATTCCGAGGGCTGTGACACCCCCAGACTCCACAAGCTGAGAGCAGCCAGTTATGGACATTACCTGACCTGCCACCAAAGGCCACCAATTACCCTTTTATCCTGGCAGATGAAAGCTGTCGCTCCCGAGTCAGAAATCCCAGATTTGCAGGCAGAGCATTCAAAGACTCATTAAATAAGATGCTCCTCACCACAGCAATTTACCCGTTTGTTACTTACTGCAATTTGGAACAGGTCTAAGCAACAAAGATCTCCACTGATTTAACACTCATTTTCAACAGTGCTTCCATTCTTGTGGCAAACTAGCCCTCAACAGAAATTCTGGATATATCCCAGGTCAGTGTTTGTCCCTGCTGTTCTTATCCAGACCCAGAGAAAGCATGGAGAAGCAGTTATCCTAACAACTCGACAAAAGACTGTCTTATTCCAAATCCAGAAAGAACTGGAAGTGTAGGCAAACCCCACAGATAATGCTGGAGTTTTAAGAGAGATGGCCTATTATAAAATGCATTCTTGCCAGGATGGAAATAGGCTGGCAGAGCTGCCAAAACACGGAGAGGTCTTTCGGAAGCCCTCTACAAATCTGTGTACAGTGACATTTACAACATCTGTACAAGTGCACAATTTATGAAGGCCACAAAGCTTCTCTCTTTTTTTATTTTTTTTAATGATACCAGCAACTGTGTTATTGACTCCCACTGACAAAGCCAGAGAGATAAGAGAGATAAAAGCCGGACTCACAAGTGACAAGTGTCTCCGCGCTCGGAACAAGCCCTGTGTCTCATAAACACCTCCTTACACCCCACTCAACACCAGATCTAAAGAGCAGGCAGCAGTTACGCTGGCAGCAATGAGAGCAAGAGTCGGCAGCACTGGCATAGGGGCAGACCTCAAGGGGACAAGGAAGAGGCCAAATTCTCAACCAGGACCTTTTGACAAATGCTGATTTCCATCTCTGTCTCAAGCCTGTCTGCAACCTTTCCACAATAGGCTGCTTCAGAGCGCCCTCACGGGAGACAGAAACCTTAGCCAACCTCACAAAAGCAGGCAGTGTACAAAACAAAACAACAACAAAAATAGAAAAGAAAAAAATCCCCAAAGCACTGCCTACAGCCAAGCAATCTGCATTTGTCTCACCTGCCGCTCAGCGGCTGTGACTAACTGGACTGCAGGGCGGGAACCCCAGCGCTGCAGAGCCAACACCTGGAGATGCAAGGAGCTCCAGGGAGGCCAGCGCAGGAGGCAGGCGCTGGGCCAGGGCAGCATCTGCCGCTGGATGCTCCCCGCCACGTCCGTGTGCGGCTGCACCCCGAGCACCTGCCTTCCAGCCTGGGGGCAGCCTGCGCCACGGCGCCGCTAACACGCAAGGCTGCACAAGCACTACCTGCTTGACTTCAGGCCTGGCTGCCTCAGATCTTCTTGGTGGCACAGGAAGGTTTCTAATAACCCCTCTATCCCTCACAGATAAAAAGGATGTTAACAAGATGCATGCCTTGCACACGACGCCCTGCCTTGCCACAACCATATTTCAGGATAAATAATGGCTTACAAGTGCGGGGAGCTGCTAATTCCTGCAGATGCAGAGGGCACATATATTTTCACGGAAAAGAAAATCGCTTTGAGGGCTTCAGCACAATGGAAGGCAGGGCGGCTGCCTGAAGTGCAGAAACTAAAAGCTTTTTCCTTCAGAACAAGAGCAGAATCAAGTAATTGTCGTTTCTACGGAGATGGGGAACTTGAGGGATCAGAGCTCAATCTGCAGTTAAATGGGCTGGAAACAGCTCCCTACCAGCTGCAGAAAAAAAGTGGATAAAAATACAAAGGAAAATCCAGAGATATTCTTTTTCCCCCAGTACTGTGCACATCTTTCTCTGTTCAGAAATGATGGATCACTTTACTCAGATGATCCAGAGCAGCTTTTCACAAATGCCAAAGGACAAGAATTTCCTATGTTTTCCCTTCTCTTATACATCTCCCACTCACCTCCATTCACGGCAAAACCTGACAGGAATTTTTGAGAGAGAAACCTCAAAATTCTTCCTGACATTCCTGAAGTCAAATTATAAACACACTGAGTAAGCTAGAAATAGCTAAAGTAAAATCCAGGCAGGCCTTTGGTCTTCCACTAAAACCGGTATGTGTGGATTCACAGAAGTTCCTGTTTGAATGGGAAAACAAATTCTGAGCTCCTCTCCTGGGTAAGCAGCAAGTCCCATGACTTAGCCATGACTGGGGCCATACAAACCATGACTGGGGTGCTACACTGGCTTCACTGCAGTTGCATGTGGAGAGATATGCACAAATGAACACGCCCAGTCCTCACACAGTCTCATCAGCTACAGTCCAAAAAAGACTGAAGGACTAAGTTATAATGATCTAAAAGAGCAAATACTGTTTTCTCATATTGTTCTTGCTCCAAATTAGTACGAAAATAACTGAGATGGCACCGTCTGAACGAACAGGGCAGCAGGTGGACCCTGAAAAACAACTGTAGGGAGCATAGGTTGGCAAAGAAGGGGTTTTCCAAAGTAACCCATACCTGCATGAGTGCTGTAGAGGGCTGCAAACGTCACCATGAAGAAGGTGGTGGAGTATTTTCCAGCATTAACCAGATGAGGGAAGGCCCGTTTGGTATCGCGGTAACGACGCAGGCACTGGATGAATCGCAACCAAGCAGGGATGCACTGGACAACTGCTCTCACTCCGTAGGAGTAGCTGTTACAAATCTGATTATCTGGAAGAAAAAGACGTTTCAGAGGACAGGGAGGCTGTAAGTTTAAGAACTTCTATTGCATTCATTTCTTTATGAGAAATCTCATTATTTTACTCCAGACTGCAACCCCCAACGTCTTGTATTTAAACTCATATATGTAGCAAGCATATATGTGCTCACAAGAGCGAGAAGCTCATCACAGAGACTCAATGAAGGGAGACTATTCTGAGCCTCTTTATTCCCAGGCATTTAGGTGGCCTGACATCAATAACACATCCAGACAGATCATCTTCCAACTCTTTCACTGTTGCCAGTGCAATTAACACTCGAGAAGATTAGAAATAATCTATTTTTAATTTGCTTTGTGCTTTTGGCAGTACTGTGAATAATCAAATTAAGGATGGAGTTACAAAAGGCTCTTTACACTGAAGCTTTGTGCATAAATGGGAAAGCATTCCCAAACTCCACAGGAGAGCTCAGAAAGGGGACTTTGTCTAAGATGTCCTTGTCCTGGTTTTCATTTTTCTTGTATATCACAGTAATAATAATAATAATAATGATAATTAAAAAACAAAGCAAAAAACCCACGGATTTCAGAATGATCTTTTAAAAAAGAGAGGACACAGCCCTGACCTGAACAACGGGGGTCATGGGAAACTGGACAAACACAACATTATGGCACTGCCACATGACATTGGAAATCCGCCATTTTATTCAGAAAGGACCAGAAAAATCCAGGCTTCCCCCGGGACCCCCAAAAATGCCATGTTCTGTCTTGCTCAGCACGCTGCATGCAAGCAACCCACTGATAAACAAACATTTGTTTATCATTCAGCCTCACGGAGACAGATTCTTAAGCCAAGATATATTCCAGGGCACCACGTTATCTTTCCAATGTTTGGATTGGAAGAGGACAAGCCGTAATTTACCCAGTTGCTGCATAACATTTTTAAAAATAAATAAATGTTCCGCTAATTCCAACACTGGCTCTAAGGGACAACAGAGATCAGACAGATTGGAGGAACCAAGTGATTGATGCTGGGAGAGTTTGCAGTTTGCTTCATCACAAACAACAGCCTGCAGTAGGCAACATCATGAACCCATCAGACAACACGATTTGCTGGCGGTCCAGAATACCCAGAATGGAAAAAACCCCACTCTCTGACGCAGCGAGACCCGGCACTATTTTGCCGTTGGGAAGACCCAAGTCAAAATTCATATCCCATCTCTGGTTTTCCTGGTTAGAAGCAGGGAGGCAGAGCACGCACAACCCTCGTGCCTCAGCATCAGCTCTAATGGAGTAAGGGGTGGCACTAACGAGCTCTGAGGAAGCTCCTCCAACCCTTCTTGCTTAAGGGCACTGTGACAGACCTTGTAAGCAGCAGATTACAGCACGGATAAAGTCGCGGTAAACAAGCTCAGGCAACTCTTTTTATCGTTCCCATGCTAAGCAACAATAACAGGCTAAAAGCAAATACGTGGGTAGATTACTATGAAATAGAAGAGCGACGCCAGGAAAATTGTTTTCCTTTTCCAATCAAGCAGCGCTGTGGCTAAATTCTCTGATGAATATACAAGTCACGCCAAATGACTGGATTAGGAAATGAGCACTGCTGTGAAATCCTACTTCCCTGGATGGAAATCAGAAATGGCAGAATCTCTCTAATGCTCTATTTACAAGAAAACCTGATTATTTTAGTTCCCTACATAATTGGTAGGCCTCTTCAAAGGGGACAGGTGCCCATGAGACTGTGTTGCTCGCTGGTTTCTAGCTCATTTTCCGAGCACTCCCAAGGGCTGTCAGCATCACCCTACCTGTGTTTGCCAGCAGTCCAGCGCTGTTGTCCCACTGAAGCTCGAAGCTGTAGAAGCAGATCATGTACTCCAGATCCATGAGGATCACCGCCAGGCTGTTGAGCTGGTCAGCCAGCCAGAAGTCCGCAAAGCCCACCTTGTGGAAGGGAGCCGTGAACACCCGAAACTGTGGGGGAAGAAGGGCGCGTTAGGTGAGGCGCCAGCAAAGACATGAACAGCAGCGGCCGATCACAGCGCCGCCCCTCCGCACTCTCTTTCGGGCACGTGGGTCACGCTGGTGGCATCTTCCACGCTTACCTCGTGCCCCAGCACTCAGTGCCAGATTACAGGCACACACCTTGACCACTGATCTGTTCGTGGCTCAGTTCACTTGATATCCTAGTTTGTCTCCGGTGTTGGAAGTTGTGAGAGCGAACACCGTTACTGACGGAGCCCCGAACCCTCTAGCATAGCAAGCATTAAAGAGCAAAGAAAATCCTATTATCTGTCAGTTAGACTCCCTCTCAATCCCAGCCCACTTTCCCTTTCAGGCTTAAGAGCAGTTACGCTGCTTTCAAACCAGACACTTTTCATGGTCCATTACCTTTGATTACAACTCTCTACCCAGTTAGTTATAGTTACTAGCAGGCAATTTCTCAAAGAGACAGCCCCAGCGTTGTCCTGGAGCTCAGGGATTTATGGACCTTTATGTTAATGGAAGTGCAGGCCAGCACTGATCTTTTATACTGCTCTTCTTATTACTCTCAAAGGCATACAGTTACAGAAACCAGTGAAAGGCTGACATGCTCCCATCCGGCTTATGATGCCAGTTCAAGGCTCTTGTCCTAAATTTCAAAATCAAATAAGGGAATCTAGATAGAGTGATGTTAAACAACAGATACGAATCTTGAAACAGAGAGCATGGGGTTCCTGTAGAGCAACAACTTTTGCAAAAGCTCCTGCAGTATCATGTACAAACATCAGGAACATCTCCAGGAGTGGGACACAGAGCAGAGACCCCAGGCAAAGGCTTTCTTTCCAAAAAGCTCCTTCCTCCATCTAATCAACACTTCCCCGTATTATCTTCTATCCATTTAGTTCTAGGTATGTTTCCGAACCAAAAGTCAAACCAAATAAGAACAAATTCCAAAACCACAGCTTTACAGATGGATCTTCCTGAAAGAAAGAGGAAGCCATTAATGAAACATATCAATTCCAGAGGCACACGGACGCTGTTGGCAGCTGACAGCAGAGAAGCTCAGGAGAGCAGAAGGCTGGAGCCAGCAGACGCGAGTTGGCTCACGTGCCCATCTCGGTCACCTCTCCCCAAGAGCGCGAGGTGCTGCGTGAGCCCCCTCAGCCCCGAGTCCCTCGGGCGCGTGGTGCCTGCCAGCTCCTCCGAGCTGCTTCCACAGGCCGGCCGCGACGCTCGCCGCCGCCGAGGGCCCCGGCACGCGCGCCCCACGCCGCGGCCGTGCGCCCCGCTCGGCAGGAAGCACTAGGTGCACGCGGGGCACTCGGCTGCGTCACCTCGGCTCCACAGATGCCTTGAAAAAGAAGGGGCCACAGCTACTCGCAGCGTTGGGACAAGGGGCTTTGGCAGTGGCACTGTCCACGGCAGGTCCCACACGCCCATCTCTCTTGCCAGCTGAGAAGCTTTGGCAGCATTCCTCAGTAATGACAGGCTGCCAGAATAAAGTCATAAAATACCAAGAGCTAAAGTTAAACTTAAGATGCAGTAAGTAATTGGTTGCAATTACATTAAGTGGTTCCACAATTCACACAGAGATTTTCAGGTGCCAATGACTGCACTTTTAGCAAGTGCTGGGGGAGCAGATATTTGAGCTGGAGCAAAACACATCCCAGACAGTCACCTCGCACATGGATACGTTCCCTGCCCTTGTTCCGGCGCCCTGCACAAGGCATTGGTATGTTCAGCCTAGTTCATTCCTCACACCGCGATCCGATTCCTTTGCCTGGCCACGGGCCCCAGCTACACGTTCAGGCTGGTTCTCCCTTGGCAGCAGAAGGGCAGAGTACGCTCAGCTCGCTTCATTGCCATTCATAAGCAGGATGCCACACAGGCAAGAAAGGAGAAAGGTAGGAATTAAACACCAGACTAAATGATTATTCTTGCTATGAGTGAAAGAGTTGCGAGCAATCTGTAACCTCCGAGATTATTGAAACAGCTTCCACCTAGGATACCCACCACACAGTTGCTGATGAACAGAGGTGGATGTGGATGCCTCCTCAATGAGGAAACGCTCCAGAACACTTAAATGTACTCCCAGAGTGGTTTTCGGAAAACTGAAGTGCCACTCAGCTACACCCTGTATGGCAGGCTTCACTTTAGCCAGCGTGTATGCTTAAAAAATAAACACAGCAAGCACGGGAGGGAAACTGCTCACCAAGAGTGACAGTGCTGCGAGCAGTGCAGTTCTTAGAAGCGCACTCCTGAAACCTTTTCCACTCAGGTAGCTGCTGATTATTGTGGTAAGAAATAAAAAGACACCCAGCCAGCCAATTATGTCTCATAAACATGAGAGAAGCCTAACAGCTGCTCCGTGCTTTGGGGTGGCCTCTCCCCGCCCCGTGCCCCCACGCAGGGCAGCCGGCAGCGCCGCGCTGAAGGATCTCACTCTCCGAGGAGGCTTTTCTCCCCCGGAGACCTCGGGGGAAGCGGCCTCTGCGCGTTTGAAGACCCATCCAGTCTGACAAAAGCCAAGAGCCGGGACCGGAGCGGTCTAGCCAGGGCTACAAGGAGTTTGTGAAGACCTTATCCTGTTAAGGCATTAAGGCAAATTAGCACAGATAGTGTGAGCGCTATTAGCCTGTTTCCAGTGTGTCCCCCAGCACCAAGGGACAGCGACAGCACTAATGAGACCAGGGACTAGAGGGAAGTCTGAGAGACGACTCGGTGCTGGAAGGGAAAAGGGAATGGAAAACTAAATTGCAGAAAGATAGCAAATCAAACAGAGGTAAGTGCACGGAGGTTAAATACCTGTGTGCATATCTGCACACACACATACACACACAGGAAGTGTGATCCTATTTTTCATCTTTGCAATGTTCCAGATAAGGATAATTGTTTTAATTGGTCTTAAATCATGACTCCATGAATAATGTCAGCCAGCCAAGCGCTCTCTTCCCCCACCTCCAAATGCCCTCAGAGCAGTTCCAGCAAGAGTAAAGTATCATGGGAACCAATTTGATTAAAGCTAATTTAAAAATGCACAGAGGGTGGGGATGAAAGTGTGAAACCACCATTTGGGAAGGGACTCATGAGCCGTCTATGGAGTCGGCATGCCAGTCTTTTGCAGTCCCCACCCAGACCTGCATCACTGAATTCACATGTATACTTGTACTCACTTTCCAAGATTTTTCTCACCAGGGAAATGGGAACTGGGGCTAAATAAATGATTCTGCTTAAGGTCAAAAAGGAAGAGAAAAACAGAAAAACAAACCTGTGAACCTAACTGTACAAGCAATACCTTTGCAAGGGTATTGCAATGAATCCATGAATGAACCGACTCCCTGAAACCCTCAGTTTGGCTTGGGCTGCGGAGCAGCACCCATGCAGCTTCCCTAAGAGCACTGTAACTCCAACCAAACTGTTTTGATATGTCAAGGAAGAGACAGGCAAACACAGAGGAGTGTTTCTATACATGCCCAAGTATGCATATAGCTGTACACAGATATTAACAAGTTACTGCCTGCAATCGGAAGATAACGACAGCTCGGTGCAGACAGGCAGAAGTTGCTTCTGTAAGCCCATGCTCAACAGACCTTTGCAGTCCATATCTTATCCTGTTTCATCTATAAATGCACGTGTATAACGGTAGTGCATCCCTCTTGTCTCAGAATGAGTGAGGATTGTATTCTCAAACTGATATTTTATGTTTTTATTTCTCTCACTTCTTTCCCCCCTGCCCCCATGAAATTTGAGACTTACCAATAGTTTGAGCAGCCAAAATCGGGACTTGTAGTATAAGGTTTTGGTGGGGTTGATGAGAAAAAGCAACATGAAGCCGTAGAGGATGAGTGGATTCACCTGCATAGGGATGTAGGTGAATTTACCATATATACATGCCAGCAGGCTCAGGCACCACAGAACCCCAAGGAATCCAGCAATCTACACAAAGACAGAAGAAACCCAGAGTCAGAGTTAGATACCTTGGTGACTAAACTCCAAACCTTCTAGTGAATTCTCATTATAATAAAACGGAGAGCAGTGCTCAGTCCTGTAATCAAATCAGACTTCAGCAACTTCCTCTGCTGGATGCAGTAATTGTGTTACAGCTCCTCGCCAGGAAATTGTACAGGATTTATCCTCCCAATACTCACAGCTTAACCATTCCTGCAATCTGTTCCGCTTACCTCGAAGAGATGTTGATGGGACAAGTTGCTGCGGGGATTGAGCTCAAAGATGAGGACATGGTTCACCCCGGCCTGTCTCCAGCCATACGTGTTGATGCCCAGGAGAAACAGGAATTCTATCAGGAGGAAGCCACCTCGATAGATTCTCACCAGTGGCCACACATTTGGTCCATCTATAAAAACCACACCTGACAAAATAAATAAATAAAAAGAGCTTTATGGCAGCACAAACCATGTCATAAATCTAACTGCACTTCTTTATGATGATTTTCAGTTACTGTGCTTTATCCCCAAGACTTAATAGGCTTCTAACTCACTTGCATATTCCAGCATCTTGGCCACTCTTACCTAAGTGATTTGAGCTAGACAGGCAAGGCTATGGAAAGGGGTGAGTCATCCTGCCTTCTTCATTCCATTATATCTGATACTTCAAACTCCTTTCAACCTAAATTTACTGGTGCTACACAGCTCCTTAAGAGGATTTAGGAGTATTCTGAGAAATTTCTACTTCTAGCCTGTATAGTCAGATCGTTGGCAGCGTGATAGGTCCCTTGTCTCACACTAAAGGCGTAAGGGAGAAGACCAACTGAAATACGACCACATTCACCCAAAATTCTGCTTTAGCAGCAATGAAATCTCTGCAGATGGAGATACAAATATCTCAGCTCCCCTCAAAACCAAGAAAGCACGATTTACCGCACTTAAAACAATGCTAAAATGTGCCTACTCACTAAATACTATACAGCTGTAAGGTAGGACATATTCATAACCAGCAATATGATTTCCAGCTGCACACAGAACAAAAATCCAACACAAGGCAGCAGTGCTGGAAAGTCTGTCGCTTCCTTTGTTCAGTGTTCAAGGTTTTGGAAAGAGATTCACTCCCAAAAAATGAGCATCCTTATAAAGCAGAAACTTGGTCTAGCAGAAGCCACTTTACAAAATATGGTCCCCTCCTGACGACCTGATGTGGGTTTTATTAGTAAAGGACAAATAAAATTGTTTTAGGCATCAAATTCTCCTTCCCTGAGCATCTCTCACCTTTCCAAAAGGAAAATGCTTTAATAGAATTGATACCAAAATTTTTTTCTCACACTCCCTCCTGTCTAAACTACAAGCCAAATTTTTCCCAAATAAGGTAAATAACGTTCACCTGTTCAGCATTAGTACTTTACATCACATGAAACTATGGGGGAAATTAATTAAATGAACAATGACCCCAAAACTGTTGCTATGAATAAAGCGAATATCGCGTTTAGGCAAAGTAGAGTCAAGTTTTGGGTAGAAGTGACAGATTCCCTGACAAAGGGGAAAGAAGTGTGGAATGGAAAAAGCAAACATTTCACATTCTGAGCTAAAATGCCTACATCCAAAGCCACAGAAGCTGATTCTACATTGGACAGAAAAGCCCCCAAAATACTGAATCAGAAACATTCAAAAATTACCAGGCAGAGAATACAACAGATAAGCGCTAGTACTCAACTCTGAACATCTAGACAAATCTTCAATCTTCATTAAACCCTAATGGAAACGCAGTTTAATACGGCAAACATGGTATATGCCTTCCATATCTCATGGCCTCTCATCTTGTGCACGCTCAGGGCGATACAGAGCCAGAATTCCTGATACAAGCCCGAGAAAGGAGAAGAATCCGAAACTTCAGGCAAAGTTCAAGCATCACACAAGGTTTTGTGGCGAGAAACCCTGCCTCCCCTCCCTTCATCATCTTCTGAGCAAGACTTGAGCAAGCGACATAAGAAAACTGAAATGTCTGATAACGGAAACATCAGTGAAGACTAGAGCTAAGATTCAATTTCAAATCATTTTCAAAGACTCATCTGAAGATTCAAAGACTTTTCTTCTCATTTTTAAAATTTACAAACAATTCTCCTTAAGCAAGTAACAGAATCTAGTCTGAGTGAAGCAGCAGAAAAATTGGAGAATGTTCTGCTAACTATAATACGTCACCTCAAGCCTGGAAGCTTTTCTTTTAAAGCTGTATTTCTGGCCCCTTGCTAGCAGACTTGCCCTCCTGCAAAGCTGTGCGGATACCAGCAAGACCAGCACTCAGTACACCCCAGCATCCAATGCAGAGATCTGTCCTCAAGATCCAAGGCAAAAAGATTTTTCAATAAAATATTATTTTCACCTAAACCCAACACTAAGTCAAGTCATTTCCTAGCACGTGGCATTTGATTCACTTATCCCTCTAGCAACCAACACCACAAAGCCCCAGCAGACAAGGGCTCTAAATGAGGTGTTGGGAGAGGAAGATTTTCCTGGTGATGAGCCCAACATCCCAATCTGACTCTCTTCTACACAGAGACTCTCATATGGCCACCAATGTCTTTTAATAGCTCTCTCTGCGCTCATTTCACAACATTTCAACATGATTACTCACCTAATTAAGGTCAAGCGTTTTCTTCTCTTCCCCAAGAATACCCTACGACTTTGCGGGCTGCTAACAAAATCGGTAACAATTTCCACTGTCCATTCATTAATACCACAGCGAGCTAAGACATCCAGTAACGTGACCACTGACATGTTCTTCTGGCTCAGAGCTGGTTCTGTTATCGTGCGCCCTTGCCAGGTGAGACACAGACAGAGCACTGTGAAAGTAGCCTTGAGATCTTGCACAAAGTCTGACTGATTTTGATTAATTAACCTTATCTCTACTTCCATAAACTTTCAAGCTCAGTTGCACATTAAATTTGACTCAAAGTAAAACTGATGTAGTACTAGTGAGGCCTCAAAATACATATTCTTGAGGGTGACAGTCTCCTGGTGTCCACTTGCAGGAGTCGCAACATTTCATGGACCCCAAGTTACTGTGAACTCATCTCTATAAATGTTGCTGTTTGCTTTTCAAAGGAGGGGAATACAAATGTGTTCTGCTAATGGAGGTGATGTCCCAATGCTGTAATATAATTTCTACACATACAGTGCTAAAAACCAATCTGCACCAATCAAATCACAAAAACAGAGAAGTCAAAGTGATACCTAATTAAAAGACAAAAAACTTTGTTTCTGTTCGTACAATTCTTATCCTATATTTGAATAACTTACAGAATAAAAGAGCACGTCTGTCTCCCAAAATAGACATACCTGTTATTCATACTAATTTAGCAGGGTGTGCTTGGGAGGCACAATCATGTTTATGAATATGCTCACAGCTGTGTCACTTTGCATTCTTAACGCTAAGAGATAAAATGCACGCAGCCAACCTCTATCACATTCACATCTCACACAGAGATCAAACATGCACATCACAGAGAAGAGGAAGAAATAACGAATCAAGAACAACCTTTCAAACAGAGGGTCATTTTTCTGCTCTGTCACAGAAAGACTAGAAGGGAAAGTCCTTGCAAACACGTTCTAAAAGAGAGAAATTCTACCCCATGGGATGACTGGATCTAATTCAAAATTCTCTTATATCAAACACAGGTTTTCCCTAAACACAGGTTTTCCCTAAAGCAAAACGTTCTATGCTGATCTATTAACCTTTTCCTGAATGTTGTTTAAGCAAATTACACCATTGCTGAACTTGCACTGTTAGTGAAGCTGCTTGGAACACTCTGCATCTCGAGGACTAACAAGATGTTTACACAAAGAGGAGTTTCCAGCAACTCAGAAGGTGCAAAGCAGAATAAAATCAAAGATTAAGATAAGCAGTAATTTATTGTCCTTTTTAAACTTGTCACAAGTTTGCCAACAAGACAAACCCAATTAACTCTGCTAATAGGCATCAAGATTTTATGCCCTAAAAATTGGTGCATAAAAACTTCCTGAATGCTCAGTGCTCACACAGCTCTGCAACTGCTTTCATTCTTTTACGGAGTCAGTTCTAGGCAAAATTCAAGCTGTATAAGCATCTCTCTGAATGGAGCCAGGGTTGTGTGCTCACAGAAAGAAAACAAATTCATTTGGGATCTTATATCTCCAGGATATCCTCACCTTGAATTAGGAGGGAGGGAAAGCAGCAGCACAAACCCAAGCACATTCAAAGATTAGTATCTGGGTCTGTAATGTGAGAGCTATCACCCATTACCGAGCAGAACTTGCACCAGTGTGATCTGACTCAGCCTGACCTAACCCAGAACATCCTGGCCAGTCGAGCTCAGCTCCAGGCCATTCCCCACGGAGAACAGACCCAGGCCAGGCAGTGGGAGTCAGCTGGGTCCAGCTGAGCAAACCTACCTGAAAGTATGACCGTGATGTTCAGGACAATGAATATTCCGCAGAACAATCCAACCCGGAACGTAGTCCAGGCTGGGGCAGGCTGCAAACAAGACAAGTGTGGAATTACGAAGAGATAAATATGTCACCAAACTCAGATTCATTTGCACAATAAGCTTAAAATCAGGGATACAACATTCTGGCCTCATTGCATTTTCCCTTTCTCCTCAAGTGAGGTTTCTCTAAACTGACAAATGCTGCATAGTGTTCTTGTCTACCCTGAATCTGTGTTAAAATAGAGCTCAGATACGTTTTGAAAAGTTTTCTGGGCCATACCAACAGTAAATATACATTATTAGCATGAATTCTCCTTTACTATTCATCTCATCCCTTCATTACATTGGCTTCACACACTAAGGCTAGTAAGCTATCTCTGTATCTCCCACAACTAAAGGAGATTATGTGCCCAAGCCTCCGCTCAGAATGGGTGGAACACCATCATATCCATGTATTTCCACTTCCCCAGTCGTAAGTTGAATCTACGCTGGCTCCTTTTTGCAGCTGAATGTATAACTTGATCTCTCACCTGAGCTGCTCCCAAAGGTGGCACACGCAAGCGTTTCATAGCCTTCTGCCTATCTCCATCTTCTAACTCGTTGGTCACCACTGCCTAAGGAGATTAAAAAATACACAAGTTACACAGAATCACAGAATGGTCGAGGTTGGAAGGGACCTCTAGAGATCATCTAATCCAATCCTCCAGCTTAATCAGAGACACCTAGAACATGTGGCACAAGGTCACATCCAGGCATGTTTGGAAGATCCTCCACAACCTCCCTGGACAGCCTGTTCCAGGGCTCTGGCACCCCCACAGGAAAGAAGTTCTTCCTCACAGGCAGACGAACTGCCTGTGTTTTAATTTGGACCCATTACCCCTTGTCCTGTCACTGGCCACCACCGAGAAGAGCTTGGCCCCTTCCTCCCTACACCCTCCCCTCAGGTACTTGTACATATTGATCAGGTCCCCTCTCAGTCTTCTCCAGGCTGAATAGGCCCCATTCGCTTAGTCTTTCCTCACACTAGAGATGCTCCAGTCCCTTAATCATCTTTGTCACTCTGTGCTGGACCCTTTCTAGAGGCTCCATGTCCCTCTTGTCCTGGGGAGCCCAGAACTGTCCCCAGTGCTCCCGGTTTGGCTTCACCAGAGCTGAGGAGAGGGGCAGGGTCCCCTCCCTTGACCTGCTGGGAGCATCCTCCTGATGCAGCCAGGATCCCATTGGCCTTCTCGGCCACAAGGGCACACTGCTGGCTCATGGTTAACTTGGTGTCAACCACGAGTCGTAGATCCCTCTCTGCGGAGCTGCTCTCCAGCAGGTCAACCCCTATCTGTCCTGGTACCTGGGGTTATTTCTCCCCAGGTGAAGGAGCCTGCCCTTGTCCTTGACATTGCCTGCATTGAGGTATAACACAACACAACTTAATGCTGATCTAACTCTCATGACAACACACACAGACTTTATAAAGCAATGCCAGAAGTCAGTTGCACTTCAAGATCAATTAATGCTCGTCTCAGTGGTAGATACAGGATGTTCATATGACAAAGGATTTTTAGCAAGGGAATATGAATACCAAAAATAACTTCTTTCCTGGCTAAAAGAGAAGCCAGTGCACAGGCTAGCATCCTTACCTCTGTTTCAGAGATAAGCTGATTGATTTTCTTGCAAGTGTAGAATGGTGCCACCTCCACCTGGGCCACCCGCCAGTCTGCTCCTCGTGAGGTCTCCAGGATCTTGTCATGCTTCTTTAGGATCTTGCGAAAGCCAGTGAAGTTCAGGTTCTAAAGAAAAAGAAAAAACACCAGATACTCGTTTTTAACTCCAGTCAGTTGAGGAGAAAGTTAAAAGGTTATATTCCAGGAGAACCAAAATGATGGTATCTATTAGTTTATCTATTGTCAGGAGGCTTGTGTGTGTTGTTGCTTTTTTAGACGTAGTATAGATCTAGTGCAAACCACTAAAGAAGTGTGTGGAGCAAGGGCACGGAGGAGAGAACTTATTTGCAGGGCCCAGGGAAACACAGCTCCAGCCTCACACTCAATACTGTGCTAGGGGTGAAAAGTAACAGTTGATTCCCAAATTGCATTTGAGTTTATCCGCAGTAACAAGGACATGAAAAGCTCGCCCCACTGCATCAGACAGGCAACTGCTGTGGTAAGATGTACATGAAATATTCCATTTAAGTATACAAAAACACCCCTCAAAAGGCTTAGTTTTTCATTCAAAAAGCAGCAAGGCCACAAGCAGACCAGGGAATGATTAACTTTGATTTTTAAACGAAAAAAAATTAAATAGCTTGGAAAAAAGAAACAGAGAAGAGCAGAATGCATTACCCCGGGGAGAGGCACAAACTACTCACTGAGATTATTTTCAATCCAATTATGCTTAGAGTGATTTAATACCAGAGCCCCATCATATAGACGGGGAAAGCAGGACAGGGAGATGGGAGCAGGAAGGCAGTGCATTAATGACCTGCATTATTGCAGACAAGAGACTTTAATTATTTTCTATTGGAAAAGGCAGCATCCCACCCCTGGAAGAGCAGATCACTCTTCTCTAACTCAAAATGAAAAAGACGCAACAAAATGATATTTTTGGACAGAATTTTTGGTAGCCTGACCTGATATCCCTTTATTTGCTGTTCAGAAAACCTCAGTAACTCTCGGGTGCCTCAGGGCACATTCCTGGGACATTCGGTGGAGAAATTAGGAACGGGAATGATCAAATATCACTGAGACAGTCCGCGTTTTTGGATGTTTTGTTATTCTAAACACTTATTCAACAAAAAGTTTTCTGCAAGTTTGACTTCCATTTCTGCTACTACTTAATTGAATCTATTGACTGGACTCAACTAAAGATATGTTTTGCCATTGAAACTGCACAACATCCCATGCAACTTGCACAATATCAAGATCACGTAGGATGAAAGGACAGACTTGGAATCCTTGCTCACACATTAAGTGCATTAGGAAATACAAAGGCAATTACAGAGCAGTTTCATAAGACTCAATCAGCTTCCAGTATTTACCCCACAAGTGTCCAATATCACTTCACTTCAAGATTTGCATGTTCTAAAATACCATCTTTCATCTAAATTATAATTTGACTTAAATATTTATGTGTGTGCACATATACATGTATGTATATATAATTACATAGTCTTTGTTATCAGTAAATTAATGCTGGCTGTCCAACCAAGCAGACATAGTATATCTAAAACATCCCCAAAAACTTCTCTTTAAGGCAGTCGGGAGCCCATTTTCAGACGGGCTGGACCAAGAATTTCCAGCCCAGAAAACAAACACTGAGGCAATGAAATTCCCATTGAGGCAACTAAGTGAGTAAATGTTGGCATATGTGTTCATGGGCATAATTTCACTTCAGAAAAGTTGCAAATACTCAGAATTTTGGAAGGATTAAGCACTGTCCTACAATAGAGCAGTATTTACGTATTTCTTACAGTGAACTTCTAGTGAAATTATCAAGCAGAGAAACAATCCTTGTAAAGATCTGAATAATGAGGTGGTGATTTTATGTTAAGGAATTTAAGTGTTCTTTTTTTTCCCCTCCTCTCTCTCCTGTTAAAAAAAAAGAACACACCAAAATAATCAGTCCAGTGATAAAAGATCATGACAGTTTCAGATTTTTTGTTTGGAGATTTTTGCAACAAAATTAGTCTCTGCAACGTCTATTGTGCCTTTTCATGCTAGCAATACAGGTCCAGCTGAAGATTTGTTTTTTCACACAAGACAAATGAGCCTGCACCCTGCACAACTGAAAACATTGTTTTTTAAATGGATGTTTTAGAAAGAAATATTGATATAGCAAGGTCATAGCCACTACCATGGCAACACCTGGAGGAAACAGCATGTCAGTGTTTCAAACCTCCAGTGTAAATACTGGATAAACCAGCTTCTTCCCAAGCCTCGTGGCTCCGGCCTCGTGCAGAATAACACACCGCGGCAGCGTGGGGCCTCTGCACGGGGCAGGGACTGCACGTCCTGCGCACGCCTGGGGCAGGGACACGGGGTCAGCCAGCCCCGGAAAGGGGAGGAAAGGAAGGTCTTCCTCAGGTCAGTTTAGCTGCCTTGGGTCGCTATCCAGGGGCGTGCTCTTCATTCCAAAAAGTCGAGGGCCCCCAAAGAGAGAAAGAAACTGGAATCTGTCTTGAACGAGGCCATTCAAGGAGACCCAAGCGCAGAGCTAACACACGCCAAATAGCGGGGGGTAAAACCAGCTCCTCCCGCGGTACCTGATAGTTCTGCAGCAGGATGAGGCTGAGGTAGAACTCGCTGAAGGCCAGTTTCAGGTCTTTGATATTCCTATGCTGGACACGCTCCTCATGGGACAGGTGGAAGACCGGCTTTCTGCGCTGCCGCAACGTGGAAATCCCACTGGCTTCTCTCTGCGCATCCAAAGTGGACTGCAATTCCGTCTGGAGGGTGGCGGACCTGCGCTGAGCTTCCGCAAGCTTTTCTGGGAGCAACGAAAGGAAAGCGGCAGGTGAGCATGGAGCCACGGGCTTACCGAGCCTGGAAAAAGCACTGTGCTCTTCCCCCAGGTAAAGCACTTGTAGACAAAAAGCCCTGAACAGAGCAGCCTGTTGCACGGCCTTTCTCCAGCGATCGCTAAAATTGACAACACTACAAATGCTTCATTTATGCAGCTCCTGCTCATTAAAGATTTTAATGCAATAACTCTCTCAAAAAAGCCTTGATGTCAGACAAGTCTCAACCACCCTAGTCAAAAATCAAGCGCACAAGCGAGCGTCCCTTGGGCGCAGGCTAAGGCAGCAGCAGAAATAACTCCCACCTCGCGCCCTGCACCCCAGCTTCAGTTTCTAAGTGAGACCCATGCCAGGAGTGTATAAGAACCCGCTCCCTCGGTCCCAACGTGCCGCCCGGCCGGCGCGGGCTCCTTCAGCACCACAAGGGCGAGCACAGGGCTCTGCGCCGCCTCTCGCTCCTCCAACACTGCCTGTCCCCAAAGAGAGGCGGCATTAAACTCCCTGCCAGCCCATACTCTGGGCGACTCGAAGTCGAAGTAAATTATACACATCAGCATCTTCTCTTCATTAATATTTTACACAACACGCACACAGGTAAGTCTCACTGCTGGGAGTTATGCTGGCCTTTTCTGACTCAAGTCTTGTTCAATTCTGACTATTTTTTTTAACAGCAAAACCCCTCTGTAAATAGTTTTACAGTGTTCTCCATAGGATGCTTTCCAGGAGCACAACACCTTTCTGAACAAAAAAGGGAGGAGACAGAAAAGAAATAGAAATCAAGTGTGGAACAGATTGACACTCTCCATCTCTTCATTGCCCATGAGCCCAAACACACAGGATGTCCTAAAGGCCCTGGAAAGGTTTATTCCCCTCCTGTCGCTCCTACACGTGCTAGGAATCCACCACAGGGAGGGACTCGCAGCCTCCAGCCACCTCGCACTGAACAGACACAAGGCCAGGCTGCAAAAATATCCTCTTTCCCCCCAAAAAACGTTTTAGGAGAGGTAGCAGAGAGTTATCTGCTGGAAGCAAAAGCCTTCATATAACTACAACCCACAACTTCGCACTCGCTATTCAAGACGTTATATTAAACCATCTGGTGATACGCTGTGATTTCTTCTGGATAAAAATATTAAATATGCTGGCAAGAGATTGAGTTTTCATCTCTTGATCCAAAGCACATGTTCTGCTGCCCCCAAGTCCAGAAAAATCTTTAAACCCATTAGTTTGGTAGCACAATATTTACAGAAAAAAAAAAGCTTCAAAATAAATTCTAAATAGACGCTGTGATTTTACTGTCTGTTTGCAAACCTTGCGTTGGCTCCAGTTACCAAACCCACAATCATCTCATCTTATTACGGGGCAATTTTATCGCCAGGACTTGTTGCAGAGGCAAAATAAGGTAAAAGGTGCGCTGGCTTCCCGAAAACACCCACCACATCGCCCAGGGCAGCTGCAAAGCACAGCAGAAAGCAGTTTCCCAATGTGTTATACACTCTTAAAACATTTGGAAAGCATGCCCCGACGTCCAGGAGCACCACAGCGGAGGCACAACCTCCTTGGTAAAGACCTAAGCAACACGCAGGGGCAGACCTGCAATAAGGCAGCAGTCGGGCCCCAAACCTGCTCATCAAAAAGCAGGGGCTGCAGCGTCGCCGCCTCATCTGTGCAATTCCCAGCTGGGTTTTCTGCATCGTTCTCTGAGGGTAAGGAAAAGCTCCTGTGTAAGAATCCGGAAAAACACATCCCATCGAGGGGCCAAGAGTGCAGTGCAGCAGCCTCCCCGCCGCAGCCCCAGCTCGCCGCGCTCTGCTCAGCTCAGAGAGGCTCTTCCCACCTCAGTTCCCTTCCTGCCTGTGCTTGTCATGTTCTTGGTTACCAGGTTAAAGCCACGGCTTCCTGCAATTAATAAAGACAGCTCCTACACTAACCACAAAAACACAGCCAGCTGAGACTGCTAAGCAACAGGCCAAGAACCACCCGATTCCAACAATTTCAAGGACAGAAAATTTCCCCTCCGCCAAATCCCAAACCAGAGTTTGGACCACAGAGAGACCCACAAAACCTGTGCCCGAGAACGACCTCCTCTGGGCCCCTCTGTACAATCCACAACTCCTGTTTTCTTTGAATCGAGCATAGAAGGAGGTTAAGAGAAGCATTTGCTTTCTTCAAAAGTGAGTGGCGTTTATTGTACTCAAATTTATTTATTGTAGGCACATGCCTATGAGTAGCACATCCCAGGTCCCAACCCAAGCCAACCCACGCCTGTAGACGCAACGGGGCCTGACACAACATGATGCATCTCTGACATGAACAAGACAAGAAAGGTGTCCCCAGGTTCCCACTTGCAGCATAATGTTAAAAAAAAAACCCTAATAAGGCTTTTCACATCATTAAAGTCACATTGCTCTTCTGCAAATAAAAGACTTATTTTAATCTTATCAAAAGCGACTTGTGATATACAAATTGCATGTGTTCTCTCTTAAAACTTTTTGAAATGACAGCAGGTAGAAGAAAATCTACCCTATATTATTAGTGTCATTTCAAAGAGCATTGTGAGGTGTGTGTATATGGGGGCGCAGAAGTGCTAGCAGGTCTTCATTAGGGAAAATTATCACCTGCATCGTGCATACAAGATGACAGAATTTTCTTCATGGAATCCAGCTTGGAATACAGAATCTTTTATTAAGCAGCCTGTGTAACCAGAAAAGACGACTTTGTGAGTATCCGGATCTGGAACAGAAACGGCAGATCTCAAAGCAAAGCAAGCTGAAAACAAGTGTGTTTAGGTAGGTAAATACGAATTATCTGGAGGCAGAGTCCACGGAGTAAAGTGCAAAAGCAGCAGGCCTAACAAACCACACTGCTTCAGGCTGCAGGGCTGCGCGCGCCCCTGTCCTCGCGCCACGAGCGCTGCAGAAAGGCCCCTAACTCGGGCACCGCGAGCGACACGGACTTCCCTACATGGGAGCAGAGGCAGCTGCAGGGCAGGCCTTGCAGCTATTGTGCTTTTTGCTATTCGCACAACCCAGATCCTATTAGCGATAAAATAAACAGTAATAAAATCATCGCCCCATGCTTATTAAAATACTTTGCGCGACTCGACCTTGTTAGCAGACTAAAATGAGAAACAGAAAAGGCTGCCACGAAGTGCTGCAAAAGCCTTTTCATAGCAAGAAGTTAATGAATCAACAACTCGCTAAGAAAAAGCATGGCAAAAGTCCATACATCATTGTATCCATATTTAAATGCTCTTCCCATTGGAAACCCAGTTTAAACATTACCAAAAGAGGCTGAGAACTAGTTGAAACGTGAACAGGGGTGGAACCAGGGCACACTATTAGAAATATTGCAGGGTGAATTCTGATTATTCCATTCTGAGGGCTGGAGAGAGCAAACTTCCACTGGGAAAACACTAAACAGTAGCACTTCAAAATACAAAGCCTAGAAATCCTTAAACTTAACCTTAAACTGCCGCTACATTTTTATTCAAATTGACTAAAGAGCATATGCAGGAGATGACAAATTGCTACTGCCTCTTCTACTTCAGAAAGTGGCATGTGTTTAAATATATTTAAAGAGACTCTCAAGAGCACTTTCAAGGGTTGGATGGATGAGTTACTACACACAGGTGTGTCCAGGAGAGCTCTTCCTGCACAACCTCATTAAATACTGGTGAGGTAGCTTGGCATTCAAGCACAGAACAGGCCAGTGAAGACAGCCAGCACCAGAAACAGTCACCATGGGTATGCAGTGCTGAGAAACTGTTCCCTACACACAAACCACTACACAAATTTCAGAGCAGCTTTCTGTAGTCTGTAGTTCAGCAGATGCTACTCACAAGCAATGAAATCACCTGCCTTCCATTCTCCCTTCATTTGGACCTCATGGTAGCTCTGCAGCTGTGATTGAACCAGAGCAATCTCTCAGATAAACCCAGCCTATAATTACCTGATGGCAGGTCTGCATGAGCACTGCAGTGATTTGGAGTGTCTGGAGATGTTAGACTCTTTTTGTATTGCTTTATTTTCTACAAAAATACACAAATAAGCACCTTACCTGAATAGAAAGTGTTGATTTTGGCAAGTTCTTTCTCACAGGTTTGGAAGAACTTCTCTTCAAACTTGGCAAAATACCTTTTCACTGCATCCTCATCTGTGACTGCAAGACAAAAGGAAAAATAACGCTGTAAGAGAATGAAGTGGGAACGATTTGCTATGTGGCTGCCATGGAAATACATCTGCAGAGTAAAAGCAGCTTCCTTGTCCTGCAGAGAATTCCTCAGTTCAGGTCTTGGTTATTTATGGAGAACACAGTGTAGCAGCTCCGAAAGTGCAGCATTTCACAGGCTGAATGAATCTTCCCGTGATTAAGAAATGAATGGAATGAGTACAAAACAAAGGGGCCACCCTCTAATTAAAAATGTTAGCACTCCCAAACATCTGTCACAAATCTTCCTAACGACGGAATAAATCAGACTCCTCATACCAGAGTCATCAGTGTTTTCAGAGTTCTCTGGTGTTCTTAGAGGCTAAAAAAGGTTGCATTTTTATGAAGAGAAAAAAAAAAAAAAAGAGGCAAATTAAGATGGTGTTGATAAGGGCAATAAATAGATCTGGAACTACATGGTATTAAAGAAGCTGGGTGTCTCCTGTAAAACCTAATAAGATGGATGTTCCGGACTGCCAAAGCCAAGAAAACCTTCTTTTAGCATTAATTTTCAGATAAAAACAACACCGAATTGTTCAAGAGAGTGCTTGCGTATACATTCTTAACACCAAGAATCTTCCCAGTTTTATGCTCGTGGCCGTTGGCGTACGTAGGTTCACGACGTTCAACACCAGATTCTCATTTTGAAGCGCACCGAATTCACGTTTCGAGGGTTGCATCTAGGGAAGGCATAGGGAGCCACTGCCAGGGGCTGTGGGCGCAGGGGCTGACCTGCACCCTTCCTCCTCAGCACCGCTGGCCCGGGGGCGCGAGGAGCAGCAGGAGGAGCAGCAGAGATCCCTGCCCGCGTGCGGCGGGTGAGTCCTCGCGGCGGCCGACATCTCCCTCCGGGGCACGGGCAGCGCGGCCGGGACTTGCCGCGGTCCGTCGGGGCAAGGATTGGGGCTCTCGCAAACAAAGCGACGGGAATTACTGGGCAATGCTTCATATGCGGAGCTATTCGCTCCCTAACTGCCTGAAACGCTTCCAAACAGCAGCCAGCAACGAGCAGCAAAACTGGAGTTGGTTTTTAAGCAAGGGCCTGCAGGACAAACTGGGAGGGCTGCAGAGGCAACAAACACCTTTCCCAAAGCAAAAGCAAAAACTAAGGGAGTTTTTGAAGGCCAATCACTGGATCAAGAGACCAGAAAATGGCGTTAATACTTTTTTGTCCAGAAAGCCAAACATAAAGATCTCTAATCCAAGCCTTTCCCGAAGTCACAGAAAGCCCAGCAAAGCCCTATGATGCCAACCTAACAAACCCAAAGTCAAATAAATACTTATCTTCTTACAGAGCTATGACCACTCTGGGAAATGGTAAACAACTATTGAAGAGAAAAATGAGGAAAAAACATTCACAGCCCACTCTGCCAGACCTTCCAAAATCCTTGAGATTAGGAATTCAGGTCAGGATTTAGATGTCCAAACACGGCTGGCTGAAAAGAAAGCAAGAGTCTCTATCAACTATTGAAAGCCTTTGGGAAATGTCAAGCCCCTCCTGACAAAAGGTGTTTTGCAGACCACAGTGGTGGTCAGTTTAAAACCCAGGATTTTTGAGAAGAAAAGGCCTCCTCCTGGTTTGCTTCCCACTGCAGCTCGGCCCTTCTGCTGCAATAGCAGGCAAGCACTGCCAAGGCTATTGCCTTGCCTTTTGTGTTTGTTTCTTCCTCCCCAAGGCTAGGACAGGACGCCGTTTTGTGCCACGAGAAACTCCGGGGCCAGAAGCCGGCCTGGCCTTCGGAAGCTCCATGACAACGGGAGCTGCTTCTGAAGGCGGCCAGCGCCCACCTCCCTTTCCTTCCCTTTCTCTGTCCCTAACATCTACCCCCATCCTGCTGCTGCCAAGGTCGCCCCTTCCCGACCTCCCCATCCCCGGGGGATGCCCGTTGAACCCGCGGGGACCGCCGGGCCTCGGCTCTCCTACACGAGCTCCCCGGCCCAGCCGCTTCCATAACGCAACAAACTGTTCCTACAGCTGAATTTCAGCTCGCGGTAATTCACAAACGCAGGAATGAAGACTACCTTTATACCCCTCGTGTGCCACCCTCATGTTCAGGAGGGTGTTTTG